GGGGGGAGGGGGGAGATACGTCCATTAAAAATAACAGACGTCATGAAGCACCTAGCAGGGTGCGGAGCTCATGGCCCCGCGCCTCAGAGGCCGTGGCATCCCACTCGCCTCCACCCCCACTTAGCACTGAGGTAGGAAGCGCTGTTGGGGGGCTTGGGGAGGGAGGGTCCGTGTCAGGGCTGCACTGCAGGAGGTCGGGAGCAGAGCTCCAGCGAGCTGAGACAGTGGACGGCGGCCAAGTCAGCGGCACCCTCTACGGGGCCCTGTCCAGGCAAGAACCTGAGGGCTGCTCCCTGGGCTCGGAATCCTGCCACCTGATCCCCTCGCTCACTGGGGGGGGAAGCCTGTGCTCCCCGTTGGTACAGTTCACTTGCCTCGGTTACGAGGCCCCCTGTGGAGCCAGCCTGGGGTGCCCCGTGCAGACCGGTCCTGAAGAGCACTTTGCTGAGAGTTTAGGGAGCACTAGGCTTAGCAGAGTTCTCTCCCACGGCCCTCTCGCCTCTGGCCTAGGGGTGTGAAGGCATCATAGGGCATTATTTTCTAGTATGTTTTCTTGATCTTGAGAGAGAGAGAGAGGAAAGGAGAGGGAGAGAGACAGAAACGCTCATCGGTTGCCTCCTGCATGCCCCCGACTGGGGATCAAACCCGAAACCTGTGCCCTGACTGGGAATCGAACCTGCGACCTCTCGGCTCACAGGCCGACGCTCAACCAACTGAGCCACACCGGCCAGGGCTAAATTAAGGACTTCTTCATTTAAGGTGGCTGGAGAAGCCCTTCAGAGAGGGTGATGTTTATGCTAAGGCCTGAAGACTGAGAAGGGGCAGCCACAGCAGAGGGACCAGGCGGTAACCGTCTCTGTCACTCGCGCTGCAAGGACAACCTGGCTTTCCCTGCACCCGACGGTCTGCAGCTCGCTGATCTGGAGGGAGTTGCTGGGACTCAGAGAAGAACAGGCATTTAACCTCCAGGCAGCATTCAGAGTCTTATAAAAACCCCAGGGAGTTTATCACATCTAAGACCCTGATAACATCTGTATTAGAAACAAGAATCCAACCAGACTGCTCATGAAAGATTAGCTTTAGTTCTTTCAGAGGAATAAATGGCTTATACCAACTCAGGCCCCGCTTTATCGGCCTTCACCTGCCAGCCAGCCACCCTCTCTCCCCATCACGATGGCCACTCGGGGCCTCCGGGAATGAGCCTGTCACTCCCAATTCCGTCGAGCTAAAAAGTCCTTCGTGAGGGTTCACTCTGCCCAGGTCTGGGTGGAGAGCTGCGGAAGGGAGCCCAGGAGAGAAGGTGTGGCCTCGACTTTTGAAATACTTTCGGCCCCCTGTATCCACGGGTTCTGCATCCACGGTTCAACCAACTGCAGGACAGGACTGCGATGGTTGCGTCTGTCATTTTTGTTTTCATTCCCTAAACAATACAGTGTGACAGCCATTTGCATAGCATTGTATCAGGTATTCTAAGTAATGCAGGGATGTGTGTAGGTTATGTGAAAATACTTTACCATTTTATATAAGAGACTTGAACGTTTGCAGATACTGGGAACCGAGGGGAGGGGGTCTGGAACCAGTTCCCCATGGATACTGAATGATGACTGTATACACAGATTCTTACACATCCGTTCATGCGACAGGTGCCACCAAGTCTATCACCCTATGCCAGGCAGTGAGAATGGAGAAGGGGAAGACACATCCCCTGACTCACAGGGTGTATGTCAGTGTGAGAAGTGAGCAGGGATCAGGGAGTTGTTAACCCAGCCCAAGAACCCAGGCGGGCTTCCTGGAAGAGGCGCTGCGTGAATTGAGGCTTGAAGTGGAGTAGTTAGCAATTAACCAGATTAAGAAGAGAGGGCAAGAGCACCTTCGTGAGCCAAAGCACAGATAACTCGGCATGTTTAATGAGAATAAAAAAGGGACTGTGTTAAGACCTTTGTACTAATTATCTCATTTACACTACAACTACTTTCTAAAGTAGACACTGCTTTATATTTTTCGTATTTTAAATGAGGAAACAGGCACAAGGGCATGACGTATCACTAGAAAATTGCACAGCTGGTTTTAAACCCCGGCAGTCTGGCTGTTGGACCGATATAACTAACCACTATGCCGCTACATGTATCTAGACATTTCTACATAATTCTGTATAACTTGGATTATTGAATTACAAAGGATCTGGGGTAGGGATGCAGGGGGAGTCAAGGCTGTAAGTGCAGAATTAAAGGGCCTTATATACAATGGGTAGGAGTCAAACCATAGTTTGAAGGTGAATTCTGAAGGATTTTAAGCAGAGGAGGAATATGGTCGTATTTGAATTTTAGAAAAATCACCATGGAAGGAGAAACTTGTGGGGAAGGCACATATGAAGCAAATAGTTACAGGTAAAATGGACGCTACACATAGGGGCTAAGTAGTGGGGACCAAAAAGGGGGGGTTTTAGGGAAGGTAACCTCACAGGGTGATCTGATCATAAAATCCTAACTGGGCAGGTCATGGTGGATAGCACGCCCCAGGCATATAGCGTTCTTCGTGGAAGGTTTATTTTTGCCTTACGCAAGCCCTGTCCCTTGTTTCTGAGCATCTAGGTTAACACACCTTTGAAATAAGCCATAACCACCCTCAAGAGAGCACATGCTCTTGTTAACTATCCCGTAATCCGGTCCCCGAGGTGCTTCCTCCCACCTCCATTTAATTTTCCTTACAATCCCTCCTTAATTTCAAATGTATAAAAGCAGCCGCGAAACTGTTATCCTGTGAACCATTTGAGATCTTGCTCCCTGACATATGTCATCAGTTTGGCTCAAATAAACTCATAAACATTCTCTACAGGTTTCGACGTTTCTTCCATTGACACTAGCATGTGCCCACGAAGCACACAGCACAAGGTGCGGCAAGAATACAAAGTTTGCCAAAGCAAGGCGTCTCCTTTCAAGGACTGTAGTCGGGGTGGTGGGGTGGACACAGATAAAACAGGTTCAAATGACCAAAAAGCGTGGCTCAGCCAACATGGGTGCAGGTATTTCAGAGAAGCCTGTTGGAACTGGGGAGGCTGGGGGGGGTCAGAGGAAGAGGCGGAATTGATCAAGGAGAGATAGCAGAGGGAACCGAGGGACTTTCATCATGAGTGTCCCAGGCTGGGGAAGAGCGAGCCTGAATGATTCAGAGACAGAGGGAGATAAAATCGGGGAGCTTTGTTTGGCCCAATCCCAGAGGGT